CATCATATATTTTGGTCATGTCTTCTTATCCACTCACCCACCCTGTCTTTTTATTTGGGCATTTAATCCATTTACATTTAAGGTTATTATTGATAGGTACTTATCTATTGCCATTTTAATTCTTTATTCCTTTGCTTCTCTCTTTCTCTATTTCTCATTCCTATTACAGCACTCCCTTTAACATTTCCTGCAATGCTGTTTTGGTGGTGATAAACTCCTTTAGCCTTTCTTTGTCTGGGAAGCTCTATTTCACCATCTGCCTTGAATGATAATCTTGCTGGATACAGTAGTCTTGGTTTCAGGTCATTGTTTTGCATTACCTGGAATACTTCATGCCACTCCCTTCTGGCCTGTAGAGTTTCTGATGAGAAATCAGCTGACAGCCTTACGGGAGCTCCTTTGTAGGTAACAGCTTGCTTTCCTCTTGCTGACTTTAAGATTCTCTCATCTTGAATTCTTGGCATTTTAATTATGATGTGTCTGGGTGTGGGGCTGTTTGGGTTCTTCTTGCTTGGGACTCTCTCTGCCTCCTGAACTTGTATGACTTTTTCCTTGACCAGGTTAGGGAAGTTTTCTGCCATTATTTCTTCAAACAGGTTCTCTCATCTTGCTTACTTTTGACCTCCTCTGGCCCTCCTATGATGCGAATATTGTTAATTTCATGTTGTCCCAGAGCTCCCTTAGACTCTCCTTCTGTTTTTTAATTGTTTTTTCTTTTTGGATCTCTGATTGCGTGATTTTTTTCTACCCTGTCGTCTAATTCACTGATACAATCCTCAGCTTCCTCTAATCTGCTGTTTATTCCTTCCAATGTATTCTTTATTTCTGCTATGTCGTTCATTTCCTTCATAGTTTCCATATCTTTTTTACATGCTGTTGAGCATCCTTACAATCAGTATTCTGAACTCTATATCTGATAGATTGCTTATCTCCATTTCATTTAGCTCTCTCTGGAGACTTCTCTTGTCCTTTCATTTAGGGCTTGTTTTTTTTGTCTCTTCATTTTGGAAGCCTGTTTGGGTTTGTTTCTAAGTATTAGGTAGGCCTGCTAGGACTCTCAGTCATTTTATTTTATTTTATTTTATATTTTTTTATTATTATTATTTTTTTAATATATCTTTATTGATTTCAGAGAGAGGAAAGGAGAGGGAGAGAGAGAGATAGAAACATCAATGATGAGAGAGTCATTGATCGAGCCCACAACCCGGGCATGTGCCCTGACTGGGAATCGAACCCCGATCGCCTGGTTCCTAGGTCAGCGCTCTACCGCTGAGCCACGCCCGGCCAGGCTCTCAGTCATTTTACATGGTCTCTAGCGCAGGCCAGTATCAGACGCAGTTTGTGACTGGACCCATGTACCCTGTTTGGAGCTATCAACAACCCACAGCTTGAGTTCTCCTCTGCTGGTGTTGGGTGAGGTTGGACAGACCCAAGATGCATACCAAAGTCTGCTTTTCCAAGGTCCAGTTCCCAAAGCAGATCAGGCAAAGACTCAAAACACTCTGAGGTCTGCCTCTGCCTGCAGGCTGATTAATCTGATTTTCTTAATGAGCCTCAGACTGTAGAAGCTCCTGGGAGTAGGGCAAGAGGTTTTCCAGCAGGGTGGGGCAATTGCTTCCCCCATCAGGCCAAAGCTTCTGGGAAGGCAAGTGTCTGCCTCTGCAGTATGGGGGAATGACTCGCTCCAGGAATCCAGAGGCCTGCCCTTTGAGCTCCATGTCCCTGGCCCACAGCCCTAGGTTCTCCTCACACAGCTCCAGTCCACTCTGCCCTCCCTCTGCTGGATCCTAAGGTGAATGGCTGCACATGAAACTTTGTGTGTTGGCTTTTTAAGCGGGAGCGGAGCCTGCATTTCCAGGCTCTCTCTCCCTGGTAGATAGAAACCCAGATGCTTTTCAGGGCCAGATGTTATGTAGGCCCCTGTCTCAGGTCTGGTGCTCTGGGCTGGGGAGCCCTGTCAGGGGTTTAGGCCCCAGAGTCCTCAGTGGGAACCCCCACAGCTGAGATCTCCCTCTGGACCTTCAGCTGCTGCGTGTGGGAGCCCAGCCAGCCCTCTGGTGCCTCTGCACTTCCTACCCGTCTGTGTGGTCTCCCCTTTTCCTCCTTGGTTATGAGGGTGCTCTCCAGCTCATCTTCAGTTGCAGTTGGTTATTCAGGGTGGTTTTTCTATAGTTTAGTTTTAAATTCTGTTCCGTCCAGGGAGAAAGTCAGTGTAGCTTCCACTCAGTCTGCCTCCATCTTGGAATCTCCCACTTGAAAATTTTTAAATAAACAATCATGCCATAGCCTTAAGTAGTGTGATCAGTTTTTTCTTTTAGCAGCCATAAAATTGATTGCAAATAGCCTTGGAATAGAATACTTTTATCTAAAATACATTTTAAGCTAGTACTTAAGTATCTGAAGTTTTGGGGGGATTTTTTTGTAGGTTTCCATCTTGTTTAAAGATTTTTGTGCATTTGAGCTGTTGCAGTGAGTTCAGATTGATTGTTTGACGTCATTAGTTGTATCTTTTCTTCCTATTAAGACAGTTTGTCAGCTGTAGGCAGAAGTTCTTATTCAGGGTCTCCCTGCTCAATTGAATTCTGGCTATTATACTGTTTTTACTAATGTAAAACATGTTCTTTTTCTCCGGGGCAGTTAAAAGAGAAGTAATTTTTAAAATACAAAGTAAAATAAATAAATTTATTTATGTTCAATATTTCAGTCTTTCCAGCAGCACCCAGATTTCCTGAGTTCTTCAATGACATAAGATTTCATCAGCATGATTTTTATATCTTTTTTCCTATAACTACCCTTTCCTAGTGTATCCTCTCAGCTCTGTGAATTATCGTTTGCTCCTTACTCTATCAGGAAGTGTTTTGTCATATATAATTTTTATAGCAACCAAATAAGTCATTGTAGACTTTAGAGCAGAACAGATCACTCAAAATTTATTCTGAAGTGAAACCTCCCTGGAAAGCCATGTCAATGTCATGAATATGACACATTGATTTTACTTGGCAGAGCCCCTCAGAGTTTTTTTACTGATATCACTTACAGATGGTTTTATTTTTTTCTTTTACAGTTAATTCATAACTCATTAAGATAAAAATTCTATTTTTAGACTTACACTCTAAAATTTATTTATTTATTTATTTATTTATTTTAATATGTCTTTATTGATTTCAGAGAGAGGAAAGGAGAGGGAGAGAGAGACAGAAACGTCAATGACGAGAGAGTCATTGACCGGCTGCCTATCCCACAACCCGGGCATGTGCCCTGACCAGGAATCGAACCCCGATTGCCTGGATCCTAGGTCGACGCTCAACCACTGAGCCATACCCGGCCGGGCACACTCTAAAATTTAAAAACTGTCCTTTTCCTGTAATTACAAATGTCTCTTTCGAAAGGATGGTTTTAAATTGCTTACTCAGAAGCTACTTTAGTCACTTTCTTTGAGGAATGTGAGTGTACATTCTTAGGGTTCTGTTAGCCAGATATATTAAGAAGAATTTAAGTATTTAGGAAAGTAGTATTTCTTGGTGTTATGAGTAAGTTCAGAAATGTACTTGTAGCCCGGCCTGCATGGCTCAGTGGTTGATCATCGACCTAGGATCCAGGAGATCGAGGTTCGATACCTGGTCAGGGCACATACCTGGGTTGTGGGCTTGCTTGATCCCCAGTAGGGGACGTGCAGGAGGCAGCCGATCAATGACTCTCTCATCGTTGTTTCTCTCTCTCTCTCCCTCCTCCTCTCCCTTTCTCTCTGAAATCAATAAAGACAATTTTTTTTTTAAAAGATGTGAAAACTCTGTGTCATAGAGCTTGAGGAGATCACTGATAGAGTATTATGATGAAAATGACCAACAAGTGGCCAAGGAATTGATGAAAAGATCTTCAACCTTAGTAGTCAGTGAAGGCAAATGAAAACAATGAGATAGCACCTCACCACCACATTATGAAATATTAGAATCAATACCAACTTAGGTGAAGATATGAAAAAACAAGTTAACATTCATATCCTGCTGTTGGGAAGGTAAATTGATACAGCTACTCTTATCTACTAAAATTTTTTTTTAAATGCATACCCTATGACTTAGAATTTCCACTCCAGGAATTTCTTTTTGCTTAGAGAATACTTGAACATAGGCGCATGGGCACATGTGTAGGGTTGTTCATTGCAGCATTGCTTGTAACAGTGAAAAATCTGAACAGTCTAAATATTCAGCAACAGAGAACAGCTCGCTCATCTATGCAGCAGCTTCCAAAGAATGCTGAAGATCTGATAAATAGATAAAGCTATAGACTAAAAATACCATTACAGAACAAAACTAGCAAAGCAAAAAAATGTTTTAGTAGCAAAAAAATGTATCAAAGGCCATAGAAGGGTGTTGAATGAAACAGAATATGAAAATTTTGAGGCCTTCTGTCCCCAAGTCCAACATCAATGTGATCATTAAATCTAGAAATGATTTTACATGACTTTTTTCTTATTACTAAAATGACTTAAGTAGCAGTAATCTGAACTGTACTTTTTATTAACGAAAGTATCTTACTTAGAGAATAATAGAAATATAGAAATAAAGGGTCCTGTAGACGTAGATCTCAGTAGTGGAGCCATCATAAGACTCTACTAAAGTCTGTGCTTCAGAGAACTGTTATTATAATAATTGTCTTCCCAATGCTTATTTTATAGTTAAAATTTAACTTTTATACTCAAAGACTACATCTTGACATATGCTCCTGAAATTCACACCTAAGGTTTTGTTGTCTGACACACTGACCACAGAAATTTTCCATGTTATCTTAGAGATTTTTAAAGGCTATTTTCTATGCCTAGTAAATTAATTTTTTTTAATTTTTTTTAAATATATCTTTATTGATTTCAGAGAGAGGAAAGGAGAGGGAGAGAGAGAGAGAAACACTAATGATGAGAGAGTCATTGATCGGCTGCAGCCCGCAACCCGGGCATGTGCCCTGACCGGGCTGCCTAGTAAATTAAAACATGCTTCTTTTTACAGACCAACTGTGCTAGAAGAAAGGAAAATCATCATAAAAAATGGCCGGCACCCTGTGATTGACGTGTTGCTGGGCGAACAGGATCAGTATGTTCCCAACAGTACAAGTTTATCAGTAAGTACATCATGCCTCAGATACATAGAAGGTGATAACATCGATCACAAACTTTTAAATACCAAGTGATGTTTTTTTTAAATTTACCCAAGTTCTGACCTTGGCTTTAAATGGTCTAATCCTTGGCTGTAGTTTTATATTTACTGCTAAATATGGAATTGGTGCCCTTTCCAGTGAAAAGTATTCTGTAGAGGGAAAGATTTAGCAACCAAAGGATTAGTCTTAATTAGCTATCCTAGGTAACCCAGCAAAAAGTTCTGTATTTATAAATGCCCACGGGTGCTAATGAAGTGGGGTCACACGATGGTTTTGCACATTCCTGTTTGTGTGTTGTGTTCTGTGCTCTGTCTGGGCTTCCACTGTAGTCACACGTCCAGTGAGAGACTCACAGATGCTGATTGCAGTGATGAATTTTTGTCATCTGGGCTAGAGTTCTCTTACAGAGCATTAATGATCTAAATACCTGGTCATTTTACACATACTGAGTGCCTGTTTGGCCCCAGGTAGTGAAGCAAGTTTAGGACAGAGAGTGGTAAGCAAGACGGAAGTACCTGCCGCCCTCGCAGGCTGCGTCCCGTGGAGAAGGCAGGCGTTGCGGTAGGGTTTGGGGTGATTCACATCCAAGGGCAGGATGGAGCAGGATGGCAAGAAATCCACCATACTCAGAATGGCAAGCAATTTAAAACTTAGGAATTGTTTATATCTGGAATTTCCATGTAACATTTTTGGACCTTGGTTGACCTTGGGTAATTGAAACCATGGAAAGTGAAAGCATGGACAAGGGGGGGCTACTGTACTAGCAGGAGTGACTGAAGCTGGGGAAAGAAGTGATCTTGTGGGATGGCGTGTGCGCGCTACATAGTTTCATCGTCAAAGATAAATAAAGCCATATGCAAATTAAAGCGGTAAAGGTAGTTTTATTTAGTAGTATTGCAGTAGGGTAAAGAGTCTAGCATGAACTGAACTCTCATCTTCCATTTGTGCCGAGGGACTGGGCATTTTAAAGGCGCCGTGAGAACAGGGAGGGGACGGAGTGGGGGTGGGCGGTGATGAGCACATTTCGGGAAGTGGGACCTGACTAAGAGCACGAAAGGGGACTGGTTAATTGGGGGTTACTGACTGGCACTAATGCTCATACCCTCCCACAGGGACTGGGAAGGAAATGTTTTGTGTTTCAAAGAGATGGTTCTCTATCCTTGAGAGCTCAGTTCTTGGTGGGAGATTTACATCTCAAAGGGACAGAGAAATGAATTATAATTGCAAGCTTTCTGAAGTAACTGCTCTAAGAGAGGGTTCAGGGGCCTATCTGCTTATCACCAGGTTTTGGCTGGAACAAACAGTAAATGCTCCTGGCAGTGCTGTGGCCTTGAGCTGTTAGTTCTGGTCTCTTAGTGGAGAGGGTAAATGAAATGATTTGTACAGAGAAGGTGCAGTTTTGTGTGTTTTGTTTTGTTTTTTAATACATTTTTATTTATTTCAGAGAGAGGAAGGGTAGAGGGAGAGAGAGAGAAGATAGAAACATCAATGATGAGAGAGAGTCATTGATCGGCCGCCTCCCGCACACCCCTTACTGGGGATCAAGCCCACAACATGGGCATGTGCCCTGACCGGGAATCAAACCTCGATCTCCTGGATCCTAGGTTGATGCTCAACTAGGTTGAGCCACGCTGGCCAGGCAGGTGCAGTTTTTATAGGCCAGGTTTGAGGCCTGCTAGCCTTTGGTCAAGGAGAGAGAGTCTTTGTCAACATAGAGCAAAATTAATCTGGTGGTGAGATCAAAGAATTAATATGTAGGGCATAGTGAAGTGAGAGAGGTCCTATCAGAGAATGATATGTGTGGCTTTAAGATTTCAGAGGTCATGTTCTTCTGCGTAACGGCAAGATCCTAGGTATGGCCTCGAGATGAGGAGATCAAGGAAAGGGTTTGGGGAAGGTCATCCATGTGAATGTTGAAATCACCTAAGGTAACTGCAGGATTTGTAGTTGAAGATGCAGGTTGTCCAGATATCAGATTTCAAGGGATGGGGACTGGTGACCCGGAGGTTTGTAGATGTCTTCCCTGAGGACAAGTAAAGATGGAAAAGCCCTAAAGAAGCAGATAGGAGAACCTCTGAACCCTGAGATGCATGGGGCAGGATGTGGCAACCAACTCAGCCTCCGAATGAGAGGACTGAGGGGAAGAGCAGCCAGGCGTCGGTTAAGCCAGCGTATGAAGGAAACGTTAGCCACAGAGGTCAGAAACGTAGGCGTATTGGGGAATTTTTCAGAGGACAGTGGACGAATGGAAATGTAGGGGAGCAGTTGGAAATTAGGTCAGAGGGAGGAAGCTGAGAACACCAGGGGTGTTGGGACGATAACAGCCATCTCGGGCTGTGAGCAAGGATGGCAAAGATGCTGCCGACGAATTAGGCCAACCACAGGGTAGAGTGGGAGGGAAGGCTTTGACTTACAGCTAGTTTAATGGTACATTTTGATACCATACAAAGACTTTGGTATTATAACCCGATCCCCAGTACGTATAGACTTGCTCATTCTTGTTAGGGAATTTGTAGATTACTCAATTTATCAAACCCAGTGAATAAGCACTGTGCTTCATTGTCTTTTAAAGGAAGGTTACGTGAATGTGAGGACTCTCAGTTCCCTCCTACCAGTAGGGCATAGCTTTTCTTGAGAAAGTGTATGGTTAGAACATTTAGTCCCTTGATTTATAATTTACTAATAAATCACTTCGGCGTCATTTCCTGTTACTGCCCCGCCCCCAGCGCAGCTCAGTGCCCCAGAACAGCAGCCAGCTCGACCCCAAGCGTCTTGGCCTTGACATTTTTTGTTTTTTTCCCTTTTCTTTTTTTTCTCTTTTCCTCTTTCTTTTAAATAATGTATTATAGTATTTAATAAAGTCAGACTTGAGAAACTAAAATAGCTTTCTGCCTAATTGCAAGAATGTTTTAAAGAAACATTGAACTCTTACATTTAAATTATTACCAAATCAATGCGGTGGTTTATTCCAGCAGGCATCTCAGGATGTGCAGCACATCCGACTCTTCCGCCTGCGCTTTTCCAACTGGAGCAGGAGCGGGTGGGGAACTGTTGCTGTGCTGACGCGCAGTCTGTTTTGCAGGGTGTGGAGGGATAGTGTTAGAAAGAACTTAGTGTAAGCGCAATTTAAAGTATTTTTTAGGTGTTAATTATAAAATATACCCTGAAAATAATTTGCTTAAAGTCAAATGATATTGTTGCTCTTGATAATCAGGTAAGTAAGCAATGGTCTTTCGTCCATGTAAGTACAAGTACACTTTTCTGGAGTTTGTGTTCCATTAACCTACAGTGCTTCCCAGCAAACCAGCTTCCTGCCCTCTTTTCCTCTCCTGGTTTTTAGAAGACTCCCGCCACCCTCCACATTTCATGATCTTGCATTTATTTATGAGTTTTTGTTAGCATTGTTTTATGAATGTCTGTTCTTATGGATCTTGACACTTATTTTGTTCCTGATGCCAGGCTACAAGAAGAAAGAGATGTGACGTGCGTAGCTTCCCTGGCAGGACCATAGCAAAGAGCCAGACAGGAGGGAGCCGTGGCTCTGAGGGCTGAGGGACACTGGGTGGGGAGCCCAAGGCCAAGGTGGACGCGATGCCCGCGAGCGGGGCGCGCTGCAGACGCGGGGCTCGGTGACCGCAGCGCGTGTGCGGGGGTTTGGGTTCCGGCTGTCGCTCGGCAGCTTGTGCGCGGCCGGGGACGGCCGTGGGGAGGCCGGGGAACTGCGGG